GGGCCCTCTGGCATCCCAAGCCAGTTCTTAACCATTGCGCCACTCGGACGGCCCTGGAAAGTTTTTGACCATTGTATATTCATATAGTCTTTTTGCCTCTCTCTCTCTTCCCCTTCTGGAACTCCCATATGAATATGTTTGTAAGCTTGGTAGTGTCCCACAGGTCCCTTTGTCCCTTTCATTTTTCTTTACTGTTTTCTTTCTGTTCATCTGACTGCATAATTTCAGTTGAACTTTCTTCCCTTCATTGATTCTTCTGCCTGCTCAAAATCTGTTTTGAACCCCTCTAGTGAATTTTTTATTCATGCCATTGTACTTTTCTGCTCCAAAATTTCTTTTTAGTTCCTTTTTATATTTCCTGGTTTTTGATAGAAAATTGATGTTCTATTTTCTGTTGAGACATGGTTCTATTTGATCATATTTAAGACAGCTGATTTATAGTCTTTGTATAGTAAGTTCAATCAGTGTGCCTCATGGACAGTTTTACCAATTTCTTTTTTTCCTGTAAATAAGAATTTTCTGTTTCTTTTCATGCCTAGTAATTTTTTGCTGAAATCTGGACATTTTGAATAGTATAATGTGGTATATCTAGAAGTCATAGTTTTCTTCCTTCCCAGAGTTTGCTGTTGTTGTTTATTGTGAGTTACAGTTATCTATTTATTTAGTGACTTTGCAAATGATTGTTTGCAAAGAGTATATTCCTTGATATTTCCTGACAGAGATTTCCTTAAATAACTAAATTAAGCAGCCTTTTTATTATTAAGCATCCCCTTTGTTGTAAGTTTTTAATTGGATTCCAAAGTCCTAGAAAAGTTGATTCTTACAGTTTTTGCCAACTTAATGGTTGCTTCGGTGGAGAGACAGATTCTTGGTGCTCCCCACTCCACCATTTTGGCGGCCATCACTCTTTCCACCCTTATATTTTTAATATGCATATTTCAACATGTATTTTTTTTAGATGTCTAGAGTTAATTATTATCTACATCTTTTCCCCTCTTGAAAAAGACATAAACCTTAGAATGGAATTCCTTTTGCACGTTACTTTACACATATTATCCCTCAATCCTCACAACTTTGCAAGGCAGGTGGTATCTATTATTTCAATTTTATGGATCAAGATAGTGAGACTTAGAGAAGTTCTATTAGGCTACTTCAGGATTTCAAAGTAATTGTCTGATCCTAAGATTCAAGGTCTTTCTACCATATCACACTTCTTTCCCTGAAGTGGAAGAACCTTTCAGACCCAACAAAATAACATTGACATCCAATGGGGCTAGTGGAAATGGGACCTTTCTCAAACAACTCTGTTACCAGTAGTCATTTCTGTCTAGGGACAATCAGTGACCCCTCTTTAAAAAATTATTTAATAAGTCAGGAGGCAGGGCTTTTACCTCTTTCCTCCAGGAGGAAGGCCTGAAAAATGGACTAATTTTCCTACAAAGAGGTGCTTCTTGTAGGACATGGGAGGTTTTTTTTGTTTGTTTGTTTTTTGTTTTTCATTTTATTGGGGAATTGGGGAATGGGAACAGCCCTGAGGAATTGGGGGAAGGGGAACAGACAAGTTGCTGTCCCTTTGTTCTTCAGTCTAGTTGTGGAGGATGTCGCTTCACTGGCCCAAGTTGGCACCATCATTGCACTCTTCCCGGGTGAGGCAGATCAGTCGCTGGCTTCTGGACGGCCGCTCACTGCAGCTGCTGGCCGCTTACGCTGGCTGCTGGCCACACACGGTAGCCCATGGCAACCCACTGCAGCAGGGACTGCAGCCCACGCTGTCATCAGCAACTCATGGCAGCCCAGCTCCAGGTCGAGCTGTTGTTCAGCATCTTAGCTGTAGAGGACAGTGTAACTGGCCCGCATATGTTGGATCCGAACCGGGGCCCTCTGGCGTCCCAGGCCAGCTCTTACCAGCACGCCCCTTGGCCGGCCTAAGACATGGGAGTTTGGATTCCTCTGAGGAAGTAGAATTCTAGAGAAATTTTTTTAAAATTAAGGTTTATTGGGGTGACAATTGTTAGCAAAGTTACATATTGGGTTGTTGGAAAAGTCATGATGCATTTTTTGCAACGAAAAACAGAAAAAAATACGTCATGACTTTTCTAGCAACCGAATAGATTTAAGTTGTACAATTATGTAATGTATCATCTATATATCACATTGTGTGTTCACCACCCACAGTCAGTTCTCCTTCCATCACCATATATTTGATCCCCTTTACCCTTATCTACCACCCCCTTCCCCCCTTACCCTCTGGTAACCACTAAACTATTGTCTGTGTCTATGAGTTTTGTGTCTTCATTTGTTTTTCTTATTCTTTTTTTGTTTTCACTTTTAGAATTCCAGAGAAACTTGAAACTGGTTATTAGGAGGAAGATTTCAGTCTCATTTTGCTTCTCTTTTAGGTTTAACAGCAGCAGCAGAGTTTGCCCTCATCAGTAGGACCTTTCTAGACCATCTTTCCATTAAATCCTATAGGTGTTGCATGTGGATTATAAGGAGAGTGTGATAAAACTGGATGTTTGTGTGTATTTGTATAGTACGAGATATGATCGAAAATACGGTGAATATTTACATTAAAAAATGTATTACAGTAAAAGACACATTGCCGTTAATCCCCCTCAGAATACCCCCCTCACTTTGAACATACTTATCCATTGTTCTTGCCACTTTTGAAGTAGTTCTGGAAGTCCTCTTTCGTGAGTGTCTTTCATTGCGTTGTCGTGGCTGCCTCGATGTCCTGAATCAACTCAAAACATTTACCTTTCATGGTCATTTTCACTTTGGGGAAGAGCCAGAAGTCACATGGTGCCAGATCCAGTGAATAAGGTTGATGAGGACACACCATAATGCTTTTATTTGACAGAAATTACCATACCGGAAACAATGTGTGACATGGAGCATTGTCATGATAGGTGATGAAGTAAAGACACTCATGAAAGAGGGCTTCCAGAACTGCTTCAGAAAATGGCAAGAATGATGGGATAAGTGTGTTTGAAGCAAGGGGGAGTATTTTGAGAGGGATTAATGGCAATGTGTTTTTTACTGTAATAAATTTTTTAAAATTTAAACATTCACCATATTTTTCAATCACACCTCATATGAGATACTTGTATATGTGTGTTTTGTGATTCAGAACATTCAGTTCCAGTAATTCTGTTCCTAATTCAGCCCAGGTAGTATTTTTGTTACCTTTTTGTGAATGATGAGTGTACCGTTATTTTCCATTAATTCAGCAAACACTGAGTACCTACTCTGCATTATGTTAGGCTCCCTTAATTTGAAATCAAACAATACATATTTCTGCTCTTCTGGTAAATTAGGGGTGACAGATTTACTAATCATCTCTTAAGTATTATATAACAACTAACTCCAGTAGAGGTATGCAGAGGATATTATGGGGAGTTGAGGAGGCATCTGAATCAGATTACAAGAATGAGGAAGACTTCTTTAGGAAGTGAATCTGGAGCTGAATTTTGCAGGGTCAGCAAAGTAACTCATGAAGTTACTCACTAAAAGGATGCTGGTTGAGTGAACCAGAATTAGGTGATGCTCGGAGAAGGACATTTGTAGCAAGGGTGCAAAGGTAGAAAAGCATGAAAAGTATGTGGCACATTCAGGGACTCCTGCAATTGAGTATGAGTTAAGTAAAAGGGTCCATTTGTAGGGGAGTGGGAGGAGCTGAGGTGGGTATCATTCTGTCTTCCTTCTTCTGGATGAGATCTTAGTTGACCTTGCTTTTCTCTCTGCAGTTTACCCTTCTCTGGAGTCTGATGATGATGACCCTGCTTTGAAATCTCGACCCAAGAAAAAGAAGAATTCAGATGATGCTCCATGGAGTCCTAAAGGTGATTCAGTATTCTGTCCTTAAACTCTGTGGTGGTGTTTGTGGGGAAAATAGGCTGGGGGTAGGTTGGATATTTAATATAGGAAGATATGATTCAGTCACTCATTTGTTTATTCAGCAAACATTTGTTGAGTGTATGCTGTGTTCCAGGTATTAGGTGCTAGAGTGATAATGATCAGTGAGACACAGAGTTTATGTACTCAGTTCAGCAAAGCCAGAGGTAATGGAGTATGTAGCTTCTGATATTATATGGCTAGAGATGAAAAGAGGGAGACCTTGAACAGATTCTAGCAAGCAGTGTAAAGCTTCTGAGGACATTCTGCTACCATCATCCTAGCCCTTTGGGAATGTTAATATCAAAGGAGGGAAATTCTGCTGACTGTTGAGCTCTACAAGGCCCAAGACTCCTTAGACTGTCACCTGTACTGGCTGAGAGGCCATCTCTGAGAAAGGAAGAAAGAATGATCATTGAGTTGAACACGTAATTTAGAGGATAATAAAATAATTTTATTCATCTCATTGGCTTGGTGGTTTTCACATTGGAGGGTGTGTTTGTTAACTTTTGCTGCTTATCCAGTTACCTAAAACTTAGTGGCGTAGAATAAGAGTTGATGATTTCTCACAGTTCTCTATGTTGACTGAGTTGCTGTTCCAGTCTGGACCAGCTTGGCTGGGTCTGGATGGTCTGAAAAGATCTCCCTCAGGTGTTTGGGACATAATTTTGGTTGGCTGGGGCCTCTTTCCATGTGGTCTTTTATCCACCAGGAGGCCAGCCCAAGCTTTTTCAAGGTAGCAAGCGGAAGGGTATCCAGCAGCAAGAAAGGACAAGCCCCATGTGTAAGCACTTTTCAAGCCTCTGCTTGTGTCATGTTTTCCATTGTTCCATTGGCCAAAGACATGGCCAAGCCCCAATTCCAGGCATGGAGAAATAGATTCCATCTCCTGACGGGGAGCTACAAAATCCTCCTATGCATACAAGGAAATGTGAGCTAATTGAGAGCCATTACCGCAGCAGTCCACTACAGAGGGTGCTGGCATCTCAATACCTGTGTTTCCCCAGGAAATAAAGGACCTGATATCCCGACCCAGCCTTATTTGGCTTTTCTGGTGTTTGGGGTTGGGAGAGTAGGGTGGTAGGGCTGTCTTGGAAAGTATTCTCTTAGTGAGTCAATCAGCAAATGTTTTCATTTTTTTTTCTTCAGACCTATTTTCTGATTTTATTTTTTCCTATAGTTTCTGGCTTATTAGCATAATGAAAAATTGGGAAAATACAGAAAAGTAAAGGAAAGTATAAAGAAGAAACCACCCATGATTCTGCCACCCAGAGATAACCCCTGTTAATGTGTTTGCATGTTTCCTTATAGTATTTTTTTTCTTGTGCATTTTTCTTTTAATGGTTGAAATTGCATTATGTATACAATCATATATCCTACTTAAAAATTGTTTTGGCCTTTATTCAAAATATATGTGTATATTTGGTAGCAAATCAAATAGTACAGAGGAGTTTAGGATGAAATGCAATGATCTGCCTCTGCTTTTTCCACCTATACAATGTCATGCCAGAGAGGCAACCTCAGTTTTAATTTTTCTGGTAGTTACCTCCAAAAAATATAATAGGATTTGTAACACCATTTCTTGATTTATTAACTTCTGTTTCTCCTTCCATTAACTTCTGTCAATAGCTCTTGATTACCCACTTTCTAAGATATGGACATTAGTACTGCTATTTTTTTCTTTCTTCCTCAAACCTTTTATGAACCACGCTTTTTCATTTATATTGTCAAGGTTGTTAACATTTACACTGTCTTGTGATTATCTACATTGAGTAGAAGTTGACTGTAAAAGTTGAAAACCAGTAAATATATTTGGCCTTTTATTTATTTATTTAATTTATTTTTTATTTTTTTAAAAGTTCGCTTCTCTTTGGCTCTCTCTTTTTTTTTTAAAGATTTTTTTTATTGGGGTATTGGGGAGGGGAACAGTGTTGGGGAATTGGGGAAGGTGAACATTGTGTTTTTCCAGGACTCATCAGCTCCAAGTCAAGTTGTTGCCCTTCAGTCTTAGTTGTGGAGGGCGCAGCTCAGCTCCATGTCCAGTTGCCGCCTTCAATCTATTGGGTTTTCGGAAAAGTCATGTTGTATTTTTGCAACAAAAAAACATAGAAAAAATACATCATGACTTTTCCGACAACCCCATAGTTGCCAGGGGAGGACGGGGCACAGACCACCATCCCATGTGAGAGTCGAACCGGCAACCTTGTTGCACACTGAGCCATCTGGCCGCCCGTCGGCAGCTCACGGCTGCTCAGCTCAAGGTGCTGTGTTCAGTCTTAGTTGTGGGTAGGCGCAGCCCACCATCCCATATGGGTGTTGAACCAGTAACCTTGCTGCTAAGAGCATGCGCTCTCACCAGCTCAGCACCAGCTAAGCTCAGGCGCAGCTCACTGGCCCAGGTGGGAATTGAACCGGCCACCCTGTTACTCAGAGCTCACATTCTTAACCAACTGAGCCACTCAGCCGGCCCACATCTGGCCTTTTAAGTTAATATATCATAAGCATATCCCTATGCCATTGTTTATGAATAATATTTTAGTGGTTAGAAAATATTCCATTCCATTGATATACCTATTTCACCTAACTTCTCTTTTGATGTGAGGTATTTAACCTAGTCCCAAGTTTTTACACTTAGTGATAGATAACATTTGGGATGAACATCTTTTTATGTACGTGTTTATATCTCTGATTATTTACTTTGGATAGGTCCCCATAAAACTCTAGAAGGGCCAAAGTATATGAAAGTATATGCCTTTATATATGGGTATACAGTGAAAAGTCTTCCTCCAACCCCTGTTCCAAAGCCTTCCAATTCTCCACCTGGAGTCAGCCACTGTTATTAGTTTCATGTTTATTCTTTCAGGGTAGCTTATGTATATACAAGTAAATACATGTATATATTTTCTTTCCCACTCTTTTTTTTTACTCAATGGGATGCATACTTTACACACTGTTATGTGCTTTACTTTTCTCAATTAACAATTACATCTTAGAGATTGTTTACACTCACACAAGCAATACGTGAGAATGCCTGTTTCCCTACACCCTTGCCAATACAATTTGTTAATATGAACATTTTAAAAGCTCTTTTTTAATATATACATTACTAACTTTTTCATCTGTTTCTTTTTATTTTTTTAAGATTTTATTGGGGAATTAAAGGAGGGGAACAGTGTTGGGGAATTGGGGAAGGGGAAGTCAAGTTGTTGTCCTTCAGTTTGAGTTGTGGAGGGCGCAGCAAGCTCAGTTCCAAGTCCAGTCGTGCCGCTCAGTTCAAGGTGCTGTGTTCAATTAGTTGCAGGTGGGCGTAGCCACCATTCCATGTGGGAGTTGAACCAGCAGTCTCTTTGTTAAAGAGTGCGTGCTCTATCCCCTGAGTCACCAGGCGGTATTTCAGCTCAAGATGCCGAGTTCAGTCTTAGTTGCGGGTGGGTATAGCCCACCATTGAACAGGCAGTTTTCTTGTTAGGAGCATGTGCTCTCACCAGCTGAGCCATCCTGCCACCTGTTGGCAGTTCAGCGGCAGCTCAGCTTGAGCGCAGCTCACTGGCCCATGTGGGAATCGAACTGGTGACCCTGTGGCTCAGAGCTTGCACTCTTTTTTTTTTAATTGGGGAATTGTGGGGGAAGGGAACAGCACTGGTGAATTGGGGGGAAGGGGAACAGACAAGTTGCTGTCCTTTTTTTCTTCAGTCTAGTTGTGGAAGTAGTCGCTTCACTGGCCCATGTTGGTTTTATCATTGCGCTCTTCCCGGGTCATTCAGATCGGTCACCAGCCTTTGGACGGCTGATCATGGCAGCTCTTGGCAGCTCACGTCAGCTGCTGGCCACACACGGTAGCTTATGGCAGCCCACTGCAGCAAGGGCTGCAGCCTACGCTGTCGCTGGCGACTCATGGCAGCCCCGCTCCAAGTAGAGCTGTTGTTCACCAACTTAGCTGTAGAGGGCAGTGTCACTGGCCCTCATGTGGGATTCAAACCAGGGCCCTGCTACTCAGAGCTGGTGTCCCAAGCCAGCTCTTAACCAACACTCCACTCGGCCGGTCCAGAGCTTGCACTCTTGAGCAAGCTCTTAACCAACTGAGCCACTCAGCCGGCACTAAAATTTCTTTATACGTATTGCCAAATTGCTTTTCAGAAAGGTTGTACTAGTTTACACTCTCACCAGCTATGTGTGACAGTACTTGTTTATGAATCCTCACAGGCATTGAGCATATCAGTTAGGAATAGTGTTTGCCTCTGAGTAACAAGAACCTCTCACGCATCGTTAGTGAGTGCTTATCCTCTCACGGTTACAAGATGGCTGCTTTACCTACAGCAGAGGGCTCTGAGTTCCAGTCAGGAAGAAGAGGAAGAGCAAAAAGAGAAAGGAAAAGGCCTTCTGAGCACCACACACACACACACAAGGGGTTTTACATTTCATTTTTTAATATCATCTTTGGCTGAAACTGTGTCACATGGCCAAGATTATCTGCCAGAGAAGCCAGGAAATGTAGTTTTTAGCTAGGTACATTGCTGTCTCACAAAGTCATGTTTTTTGTTAGTAAGCAAGGAAGGTAAAATAATACTGGGTTGAGAACAAGCAGTCTCCACCATGATATTTTAAAAATTTTTTTAATTTTTGTATTTTTTTTAGCTGAGCCATCCTGCTACCTGTTGGCACATGATATTTTTTTGATCTTTGGTAATTCACAAGCAAACAACAACGGTATCTTATTAATTTAATTTTCATTTCTTTGATTAAACATTTTTTTTTTAGATTTTTTTTATTGGGGAATTGGGGGAGGGGAACAGTGCTGGGGAAATCGGGGGAAGGGGAACAGACAAGTTGCTGTCGTTTTGTTCTTCAGTCTAGTTGTGGAGGACGCTGCTTCACTGGCCCAAGTTGGCACCATCATTGCGCTCTTCCCCGGCGAGGCAGATCAGTCGCCGGCTTCTGGACGGCCACT